CATCGGAAGAAAGGAGTTATCCCACACAACAGTAGTTTTTTGCACCGGCGTTTCCGACGAGGAGAAAGAAATTACTTACAAAACAGAGAAAAGCCCTGACTATGTACAGTAATACTAGAATAACAACTAAAAGAATATATATCTTTGAACTAGAGATTAAATTGCCTGCAGATTTTCTTTCAGGGTTAGTCTTTCAAAGTTCCTAACTGTCTCAATGCTACCACTGCAGTAGATGAAAGAACAGTAAAGGTGCAGCTCCTTTCCCCCTGGGCTTGCACAGTCCCGTGTTTGAGGATTTTTGCACCTAAAACATCAGTTCCAGAAAATTCTGAATCTAGGCTTTACGCAGGTGTACGGCCTCTAAATGTGAGGCACAGAAGCCTTGAAGAAAAGACTCTCAACAACTCATTTTTTCACTTTCTCTGCCTCCTTTAATGCGCAGAGCAGGAAGACTAACAAAAGTGCACAAAAATTTGGAATATGTTCAAAACCTTTCTTGTCATGTTCTCCTACCACTGCTGAAATACAATAAATGGGACTACCTCATCCCACAACAGCAATAATCAGTATAGTGTCCTTGAGACTGTTTTTTTAAGAAGGAGTTCCAAGGTGGGTGGGATCAGTGAAGCAGAGAACAAAAGCCTTCACTTACAATCATGCAGAAGTGTTAGGACAGCAGAAGGGCCACCTTCATAGGTTTAGCTTCCATATCAGAAGGAAACAATTGCATGTTTTGAAAGCTGTGTGCACAAAGAGGTCAGGAAAGCCACAGCGATTTATTGTCCTTCACTACTTGCACAGGTCCTTAAAAACACAAGTTTCTGTCCTGTCAGTGAAGTGGCTCATACTTAAAAGGTAAGAGTGTTCATTCAACTTTTTCTTTAGACAACAGTCAGTCCAATTTAGAATCATCACCCCACCTCTTTCATAATCCAGATGACTACAGGACTCATTGATTGCAGAAGCCTAAGCAGATAAACAGGAACCCAAAATTGTAGGAAAGAGCATACTTTCACTGCAGAACTCACTGAGAATCTTTAGGCAAGAGAACCCCAGAACACTGAGGTAACTTTGAGAGGGGACAGAAAAACTATGCTATTTTCTTAGTTTCCCTATATGCTTTCTGAGGGGGGGAAGGGTGATCATCCTCCTGGGGGCTCTTATCCCCATGTGAAGTGACTTCCAGGAATCGGCAGCAGCTTAAACTGAACACAGTCAGAGCATCCTGAAGAAGTCTGAAAAACAGTCTGCAGTGATACCCAAGGGAGGTTAGGAATAAAACAAAAGTTTATAGAGGAGCTGTGTGTTCCCTTGCAGTCTTCAAGAGTTGCTTTCATTTAAAATAAAAGCCCAGGATGCTGAAGTTGATGAATTGGATTCAGTGAAAAATCACATGGAAGGAGATGGAAAACAAGATTTTTCCACCCTTCTTCCTTTCTTCAGCCGATTTCTGTATGTCCCCAAAATGCTCCAAGCAAGAACTCATGAGAGTTCACTAATCCCCAGAGCAGATTTTGGGACACAACAGCAGGATGACAGAAGAAGACTGGGAAAAATTCTTCCCTCCAAATCCTTCCACGAGTTTTTCTGCTGGATCCAACCTTGTGTCTTGTACACCAAAAGAATCAGAATGACTGCCAATTTAGTCCTGTACTATTTGTATAACCGCAGGATAAAGTCCTAGGGATAATGCAGCTATCATTCCAAAGTTTTATGTAAAAGACATGTGAAATAGGTTAGCAATCAACAGGTAACTAACACAATGTGGGGGAAGGATTTTATGATCTTTGGGACAAGCTTCTAAAATATTTATTACAAAATTCAGGACCATTCCTTACATCCCAAATTAGACAATTAGATATTGACAAAGCATGATCTTTTTTTCTTTACAACCCAGGGGGTCAGCTATACTATTTAATTCTAAAAACCTCTTAAACATAGTGATATATTCCACCCATTGTGATCAGATATAAGAACAGAGTAAAAAGGGTATGCGGTGGAGGGATTTCTTTATTCCATAGTGACTGAAAGAGAGAGGGAGACTCAGTTTACAGGGTATATGCTCCCATAGACTGCAAAATTACAAAAGCCTGTTGCATTCAATGCACAGGTGAAAGAGTTCTTCATTCAAAATACCAGCAGTCATTTCTGATGAGAAGAAAGTTCTTTATAAAACTCACCCTTCTTATAAGATAAGAAATTATATTAAAAGTGAACTAGAATAGTCTAGCTAAAATCCCACACAAAAGATTAAAGCATGCACATATTATAGTAAAACCTAGATGCATTACAGTAAAGCCAGTGGTGCAGTGGTTAGAGTGCAGGATCTGGAAGAACCAGGTTTTAATCCCCCCCAATTTTGCTGTGGAAGCTCCCTGGGTGACCTTGGGCCAGTCACCTACTCTCGGCCTAACCTAACTCATCACGGGGTTGTTGCTAGGAGAAAATGGAGAAAGGGAGAAAGATGTAAGCCATTTGGGGTCCCCACTGTGGAGAAATGTGAAGCATAAATGAAGCAATTAAAAAGATAGATGCACTAGTCAGGTTTATCTATATTAAATAAATATCATGGCTCTAGTAGATTTTCCATACATGTACAGAATTCATATTTGGTGACCTGCTGCACTCAACTGCTGGACAATGTAAGCAACAGAGAGAAGGGCAGAAAAGGGCTAAGATCTAAAATGTAACAGATGCAGATGTTGGAAATCCTCACAGATCTAAGCAGTGAAGAGCAAGGAATTTCTGCATGGAATATGTTAGTGGAATTTTTCACTAACATTAAGAGAAACTGTTAAAATATTAACATTCCTGATGCCAGTGCACAAACTGTGTGAAAGAGATTCACTGTAATCCAGATCACTCCTTATAACAAGCAATGTCTGAATAAAGAATGCAAATGCTTCTAGAGATTAGGGGTATGCAGGTTTTCCCCCCTGATTTTTTTGAGTTCAGGTCTATTGGACCCCAAAACTTTTTGGGATTTTCTTAAAATCACAGACCCCAATACCAGCAAAGTATTTGGATCCAAGATTTTTTTTGGAAATCCTGAATTGTTTGTGGTCCAATAGACCCAAGATGGAAAAAAAACAGGGGGATCCCAACCCAGAAGTGGTAAAGCCAGAAAACACAGCTTAGCCACAGCTCCCGCCTCTCAGATGTTTCCCTGATCTTTTCTGCAGTCCCTTTAAACCAGACTGGTTTTAATGGACCACAGAAGACAAAAGGGTGTAGACTTTCCAATTTCCCGGGGGGGGGGGGCTGGGGCTGGGCCAGAGGCATTGCTTTGCTAGGAGAAAGGGTGGCTCCCGGGGGAGGCTGAGCACCTTCCTGAAAATTTCGGCGGGGGCTGAAGCCCCACCGCCCCCACGAAGATTACGCCTTGGGGGACAGCTCATAGATAGGGAGCAGTTTCCCAGATCTTTTCTGTAGTCCCTTTAAACCAGCCTGGTTTAAATGTACTGCAAAAGAAAAGGTGGGAACAGCTGGTAGGCAAGGAGCAGTTTCCCAGCCTCTCAGATATTTCCCAACCTTTTCTGCAGTCCCTTTCAACTAGCCTGGTTTAAATGGACTGTAGAAGAAGCATCAGGGGACAGCTGATAGGAGGAGAGCAGCCTCCTGCCTTCTCAGCTGTTTTCCTGATCCTTCTGGTTCCCAAAAATATCCGGGATTCTTTCGGTGTATTTTTCGCTAGGGAAGATCCAAATGCACACCCCTACTGGAGTACTGACACTGAGGGTGTGAATTAAACTTATACTTAAAACTAGCACCATTTTTCAGCTGTAGTGTTTTTCCATTGAAGTCACAAAGAACATTCTTCTACAAAGTATTTGCCATGCAAAAAAAAAAATCTGAAAAGCAGGATGTCAAAGCAAACCTCAAAGTTGGTCAAGTGCATTAGTATATAAGCAGCCCAGCATGAAGTACTAGTATGATATGGTGCGTAATGATCATCTAAAAACACAAGCGCAAGAAGTTGCTGTACCTGTCTCTGTCTGTTTAACCCAGTTTTACAATGCTTTAAGAAAGGGACAAAAAGTAACACAAAAGTAAAATGCTTAACATGGAACACGAGGGAGAAAAACCTATAAAGAATCAGCAAACACACAACGTGACCCCCCCCCCTTTAAAGTGATGGAAAATAAGACAGAAATATACCACAACAGTATCTGCCTCTTTTGATTAACTATTCTTGCCAAGACCCAAAAAACTATGTGGGCAGTTCTGCACACTCAATGGGTATTTAGGCCTGTTTCTAAAACTCTATAACCCCGCCCCACACCATAACGAACACTGAACTGCTTTCCAAAACACAATAAGATTTGCAGCAACCTTCTGTCTGATAAGAGGCAAGAAGCCCACTGGACACTCCCATGTCTTTAAGCTGCACACACCTAAAGCAACTCTTTAGATAGTACACACTGAAGAATATTTTTCTACACCATAGTGGCTTGTTACATTTTTTACTTGGAATAATCCTAATAATGCCAGCCAAATGCCAGCTCAGACTTTAAGGTATGGAAGATTCGTGACATTTGTTACGAAAAAAAATCATGGCTTCTCAAGAGGCTCAAATATGTAATGTACTGACAATATTGTTAATCTGAGGATAGAAAGTATAGCTGGGACTTCCCCCATGATGCCTTATGGGATGGCTTGTGCTGGAAGTTCCTTGCTTTCACTGCCAACATGGCCTAGCAGCAAATCACAACACTGGTTTACTACATTTTACTGGTGTAACAGCCTTGTACGCAATCTAGATTTTGTAACTAGCTGAAGACCTTATTTTTGATGATCCTAAAAATAAGTTACAAGTTTGCAACATACCAATTTTCTAAAAGTAAAATTCACTGTCTATTTAAAAACCGTCTTATATCAGATTTATCAACAGGGAATTGGCCTCTAGCCTATGGTACATGGACAAGAACATTTTCTGTATCCGTTTATCCATTTATGTATCCCTTTATCTGACCCGTTTTCAAAAAGTAAACTTCGTTATCTATTTAAAAACCCTGTCTGAAATCAGATTTAACAACAGGGAATTGGCCTCCAGCCAATTCTGTATCAATTCTGTATCAATTTATCCATTTATGTGACATATGGTACATGAATTAGAATACTTTCTGTATCAATTTATCCATTTATGTGACAGTGTATGTATCATAATGAAAGATCTCATGAAGCAAAGCAGTCTTTCTGAACATAGCTTCAGACTGGGTGCTGTTCAACACAAGGACAGTGGTAGGGCCGATCTTTAAAACTTATCACAACCATTCCAGTTTTCTTTTCATAAAACTGGTCCATTTTCTTGTTTCTCCTAAGCTTTGCTTTGACACTTGTGCCAGTCTTGTACCCCCTGTGGTGGTAGACTTGCTATAACTGAATAGCAAGGTATGTGGGAAAGAGGAGAGGGGAGGCTGGGATATACCAATGAACCATGCTAGTTGCCACAAACCACTACACAGGCTCATGAGTGTTTGGACTATGAACGCTAAACCCAAATCATACCAGTGAAAGCTGTTGCAGAAAACAGTGTAAAGCCCTTGACAGGCCAAGGTTCAGTCCTGAAAGAATTTTTACTGATTTTAGATGACTGAATTAAAAGAGAGAAAGATCAACGTTTTGGAAATAAGACCTAAGGTGCATGTAATCATTTATATCATTACATATCACTATGGTGGAGAAATATATAGCCTGTCTGATCTCCTAAGACTCACGACTGAAAACCTTTCCTCCTCTCTTCCATCCTCAAGTCCAGCTGTAACTCTTGTCAACTCCAGCAGCTTTATGCCCTGATACAACTGAGAAAGGAGGGTGGGTGGGTTATTTGGCTAAAAACATTCAGAGAAGGCATCAAACACTCATTTCTACAACAATAAATAAGCTAAATATACTAAGTACCTTTCACTAGCCAGTACAATGTGCTGCTAATGAAGAAGGGACACACTGCATCCACAGCTAAAGGGACTGCATGTACGACAGCAGGCAGCAGGGAAAGGCAAATAGTTTGCTATTCATTCACAAACTATGCTTATTAGTCTCCATCTATTCTATTTGCTCATCAAGCCACTGATGCAGTGTTAGTGGACTGCAGTTATAACTGAAGCAGACTCATCACTGTCGAAGCAGCAATGAGATGCTAAGGTTCCACACCACATGACTACTCATTTACCATTGAGGGGTCTGTGGGTGAAGGAAGCCCCTCATCAGCATCCTCCTTGATCATATCCTAGCAACAACAACACATTATTATGGTCTGGATAAAAAATGGTTAAGCATTCAGTGAAAACTGGAGAGAAACAATAGCTGAAGAGGTATCAAATTCTGTACCATTCTAGAAAAACAACGTTTTCAAATCAGGGCTAGGGAAAATGACACTCAAAAATGTTTTACCTGGCTCACCGAGGCATTCTGCCTGGCTTGGGCTAACAACCTTGCACAGCCAGACAGCAGTGGACTTGCCATTTACAGAAAAACTGAAGAACGAGCTCCTCCAAAATAGAAGCCTTCACAGAAGGGATGCCAGACTCCAGGTGGGACCTGGTGATCCCCCAGAATTACAGCTCATCTCCAGAGATCAGCTCCCCTAGAGAAAACGGATGCTCTAGAGGGCGGACTCTATGGTATTGTACTCCACACTGAGGTCCCTATCATCCCCAGACTCCATCCCCAAATCCCCAGGAGTTTCCCAACCTGGACCTGGCAACCCTACTTTACAGGCCAGATGTGGCCAGCAGGCCTTGTATTGCCTACCCCTAGTTTGAGCAAATTTGTAAGAATGTTTTAAAAACTTCAGCAAACCTTTGACTTAAAAAGGCACCTATTTTTCGAACTAAGGTAACTGGGACAAATTTCCTACGCCCATTTGAACCAAGCTCACTATGAGAACAACAGTTACCCAATTTTTATTTATGGAATCATGGCACAATTATGTAAGCATCTAAAGAGCTAAATTTGTATTGTAAAGGATAAGTACAATTTCGTTTTCATTCTAATTGATAAATAAAATGTTTTACATTTGAATGTAAATAAGTGAATGTTTAATTAGCTGGCTCCCTAGGTCTTTCTGATATCAATCACCTTAAACTAATCCGAAAATGAACATTTTATCTTCTCACTAGGCTTGTAAATAATAAAGTTAATAATTTTATTCTAAAAAATTAAGCCTAAATTCACAAATGAAGAATGTTAGGGGCATATATGCCTACATCTATTACTTACTGTAATGGGAATTCCTTAATTCCAGTCAAAACTGAAGTGAAGCACTTACAATACAAAAGTTTCCATGGATACAAGCTTGTGAAAAGGTGAAACAAAACATGGTTTTGCAATCCGAGCTAACCTTATCTTCAGATTTTGTATATCTATGCACTAACATCAGTTTTTGTACAACTGACTAATTTTAGTATAAAAGTTAGTACGTTCATTTACTCCCCTCCCCAAGATACTTACTAGACTCTGATCTCTGGACAAATTCGATTTTATTGATGAACGTGGGATGAGATGAGAACTGCCAGGGTAATACCTTGGCATGTAAACATATGGGGCAAAGAATGGCTATGGAAAGAAACATGTAACAACAAAAAAAGACAATTACAAAAATCAAAAGGAAAACTTACTTCAACAAATACCATTTGTTTAAGAATGGAAAACAAAAAACTGAAAATTCTCACTCTGAGGTAATTTCCAAAGTCTTCTGAAATGATCAGAAGATAGTATGTTAGGCAGTTACCTAGTGACCTACCCCACCCAAGGCCAAGGTACGATTTCCAAATTAGTTGAATGAGAAAAAACTAGGACAACATAAAATGTAATGACATTATGACAATTGTATTATTTCTTTACAGAGTTAACTAAATAATCTAATTTAGAACTGCCAGAGCAGCAACATTAAAGGGAAGGCCATTTAGCTACATTCTTATGGTAGAAGGATTGCACAGAAGTAGATGTGATCAGAAGCTTATGCTGTAAGCATCTGTGAGGAGTATTCCACTAGATCCTCTTCCCAGAGGGACAACTTACAGTGCGGCTATTTAATTTCTACACTCTATTTAATTTCTACACTATCTTCCAAAATCACAGAGCTTTACAATTCTCACTACAAGAATCTTCAAATCTATCATACAAATACTGATGTTTCCTGTAAAGAACTAAGGGTGATAGACAGGGTATTTATCAAAGCCATCTTTCTTGCTCAAGGCTATTTTAGCCTAGTTCTACAGAGTCCAAGGTCAATTTTCATCCATTTTGCATAGTGAAGCCCACATTGTAAAAAAATAAACTGCAGTCATAAAGAATTGTTCAATACATGTCCGGACTGCAATGTGGAATCCTTGCTCAAACCTCTTCCAAGTATTTTTTTAATAAGCACAGTACTGGCTATGTGCTAAGTCCCCAAGAAGTCTGGCTCAATGATGTGGTGTGAGGCCATACTCATAGGGTGGGACACTGTGCAAATGCTTAAAAATGAATAATTTTAATTTATGCCTGACTCTCCAATATAAATCCCTTCACCTCCATACATACTATGGGTTCCTCGGTATTCAATCCATTTTGCTGCCCCCAGCCCTTACACAAAGATTCAGAACTGCTTAAAGTCCTGTTTTGATGTGCACGCTTATATATAGCATTCAGGCAATTTTCAAGAACATTTAAAAATATGCATTCCGGTGTAGGATTCCAACCAAAAAGAAACTTCTCCTCCACAAAAACTCTACAGAATAGCTTAAGTTTGCCATGTGCTTATTAATCAAACAGGCTAACCATCACTTTGGCAATAGTTTCCTACTGTTGTCCTATAGTATTTTTAACTAAGCATTCATAATATTAGAACAAAATACAATCCAGAGTAAATTTAAACAGGCACTTCCTTTCTTACTCGATTATAGAATGGATGCTGGGGTCCTGTCATACCACTGTAGTAGCTGCTGTGAGGCTGGGGTGATACCACTCCTCCATTGAAAGGCCCGTTAAAGGAGTGTGTTGAAGAGCAGGCTGATGATTGCTGGCTAAAGACTGATGAAGCTCTAGGAGCTGACTCATGTAAAGGCAGTGGTGGGTATGGGATTGCTCCAATGTTCATCTGGTCTCTTGCAGCACGGACATCTGAAATATTCAACATGAAAGATAAGACACGTGAAAGATAAGACATAGCCAAGGTAAAGGTAAAGGTTCCCTTGCTCGAAAGCCAGTCCAGTCCGACTCTAGGGTTGCGGTGCTCATCTCCGTTTCAAAGCCGAAGAGCCAGCGCTGTCCAAAGACGTTTCCGTGGTCATGTGGCCGGCATGACTAAACCCCAAGGCGCACGGAACGCTGTTACCTTCCCACCGAAGTGGTACCTATTTATCTACTTGCAATTTCTTGCTTTCGAACTGCTAGGTTGGCAGGAGCTGGAACTAGAGACGGGAGCTCACTCCGTCATGCGGCACTTGGGTCTTGAACTGCTGAACTACTGGCCTTCCACAGCCTGCAGTCCAGCGTCTTAAGCAACCCATGGCCATTTTTCAGTGATAGGAAGACCCTGAAGAACTTCTATCCAAAGCAGTTATTTTACTTTACAAAATTTATATTTATTTATGTTGTTTATAGTCCACCTTTCTCACATGGACTCAAGGTTGATTACACAGAGTCAATACAACTGATGGTTGCAACTGTCAAAGGACCGTAAAGCCAAAGTCCTGTTTAAGGGGCAGGTAGGGCAAGCCAAGCCCGCCTCAAGTGTGAGTCCTCTCACCTCAGAGCATCGCTACCACCAGTCCCCTTCCTACCCAGGCAGCCACAGACCAAGAGACAAAGCCTCTAGCCCTCAGAATCAAGAACAAGAAAGTCAACCCTGTAAAGGAGGACACTTACAAGGTGACTTCCAGGAAACAATTACTCTGATAACTGTAGCCAATATGGGCTAAATTACTGGATTCAGACTGAAAGCCCAAAGCCCAAGAACACCACAAAATATAAGGAAAGTGATTTATTATAAAATTGTGCAGGAACAGACAATAAAAGAGCAGTGAGTAGTGAGAATAAAAATAACAAAACTATATTTCTAAGCTAAGCACATTTACAAGCATTGGTTCAAGTTTCAGATGTTACCAAGCAAGATGGAGTCCAATAGGGTTTCAAAAGGCAAGGCAAGAGTTCTGGTCAGTAGGACCCACACAGAATCAAGAAGTGTCCCCAAGTCAGACGTAATCCAAACACAGGCAAAACTAGAATGAAAGATCTTCCATTTATGGTCAGCAAGTCAGTGATCCATGTAGGCCTGATTCTAGTTGACCAATCAAATGTACAGCAAATGATGCAACTAGACTGATCAGGTATATTGCTAACCAGGTGACTCAACCAATCAAGTGAGTTTGCCAATTAGACCGAACACTCTACAGCTGCATAGAATCAAATTAAACAAACACTTTCTCCCACCCACAAGCTCTGGTACTAATGAGATGGAATGTAAATTCCTCAATTCTTGTGGCTTTGTGAGGCCTTGATACTGCCAGACAGGCATCTGGGTTGCCTCCCATCTCCCTTATCTAACTCTTTGAAGCTACAAGCAGCTCTAGAGAGATCCTTCCATGATTTTTAACTAGGCTTCACCATGAAACACTGTTTAAATTTAGCAAGAAACTGCTTTTAGTGACCAGTTTCTTGACAGGGCCATTCAATAAACAATGCAATATGATTAGGGTTGCAGAACCAACCAGAAGTCTAAAAACATAGATGAAGCAAAGCATAAGTACTGACACGTCACATTAGAGAATACAAAATTCCACAGTAGGATCCTAGTTTCAGTAAGCTCTACACATGAGAATCATTTAGTACATTGCAGCTCTATTGCCTGTGCGGAAAAGCCCTCTTGAATAATTCAGTTTTGCACCGTTTGTAGAAAGCTAGGAGACTGGGAACCTTCCTGACTCCCACAAGCATGCTGGTGGGGGCCACAACAGAGAAGGCAGCTGTTGATTTTGCTCATTGGCAGGCTGGCCTCTCCAAAAGACCCTACTCTGATGAGCGAAGCTGTCATGGCAGAATGTAGGGGGAGAGGCAGTTTCACAGACATGCGGGTCCAAGGCCATGAAGGGCTTTATATGTGATTGCTAATACCTTAAATTGAGCCCAGTAACTGATGGGCAGCCAGTGAAGTGCCTGCAGGATGGGAGTCATACGTGTGCTCCATCTAGCTCCCAATAATAGCCAGGCCATGGTATTCTGCACCACTTGGAGTTTCCAGATTGATTTTGAGGGGAGACCTACGCACAGTGTATTGCAGTAGTGTAATGTTAATGTTACTCTGACGTGTATCTGGGTGGCCAGATCAGCCACCTTTCTGCCCTCACAAAAGACACCATGGCCACTTAACAAATTAAGATATACAAAATAAAACCACATTTTATTATGAGACTAAGGGACACTCTTTTACAGTGTTTCGAGTCCTATCTGTAAGGTTGGTCCCAGAAGGCGGTGCTAGTGGATTCCTGCGCTGTCCTATGGCCCATTGGGTTTCCACCGAGTTCGATCTTATCCCTCAAGCTATGTAATATCTCCATGAATATTTACATGAAGCCACTGGGAGAGGTCATCAGGAGATTTGGGCTGCTGTGTCACCAATATGCAGATGACAGCCCATCTCTGTTTCTTTTCCACCTAATTCCAAGAAAGTTGTTGATATTTTAAACTGGTGCTTGAAGTCAGTAATGAGCTGGATGACGGCTACCAAGCTGAAACTTGGTGGTACCTGATTATAGTGGCACCTTAATAACGTTTGCCCCCATAGTAGTTGTGCTGAAGAAAAAGAAATTACTATGCTTATGTATCTGGGATCTTAGCTCTGGGGTCCTTCCGATAGTGCTTAGGTCAATCTAAAAAAGACCACCAGATAATGGAATAAAACTCCATGGCTAGAATTTGTTCTTGATGCTAAACTTGCATCATATTTCCTGAGGATTTTCAATGCCTCCCTAGCCAGGGGGCCCCACTGCCCTGGGACTTGGTGTATCCACACGGTCAAAGTTGAGTCACCACTCAAGAGATGCCAAAGCTGCCTGTTTTTTTTTTATTAGCTCAGTTCCAATCAGCCATTCGAAGATTAACAGTCACCTTGCAGGCTAGCTAGTTCAATCCTGATTACTTCCACCTGCTTTCACCCAAGTTCTTAGGCCTGCTTCCCCTGCTGAGGGTCTTTCACTTGGTCTTGGTAGTCCCTAACTCTGGCCACTTCTTATCTGACTCACAGGAATACTGCCCACAAAAGAAATTTTGACACAAGGAGAAAACATTGAAAGTATCTCAGAAAACTGTCATACACGCAATATTAAAATCTTGCATACTATGCAGTTAAAATTGCAATATGCTCACCTGCAATGATTTCTCGGAGCTTTGGATCAAGGTTTACAGTACATGGTAAGAAGGTCTTTACATCACGTGCTACAAGAACAGGAGTTCGAGAAGACAAAAATACTTCAAAGTTACGAATATCCCCGTCTATTTCAAGAAGAGGTTCGACATCTTTTGTTGTTGGAATATTCTTTGAAATTCTGAAGAAAGCAAAAGAAATGCCAGATGATAACCTAAACGTATTATCTACAGGTTTATTAGGTATTTGTTTTAAATCTGACCAAAAAAATCGCAAATGCAAAACAAGATCTATCATTGTGAATGAAATTATTTGTAAAGTAAATGCAATATAAGGCTCACCAAATTTCAACTGTCTGCAAATTTTGGCTCCCATCTTGTGGGATAGCCTACCGATAAGGTCAGGAAGGCTTCTACGTGCAAGTTATTTCACAGAAAGTATATAACAATTTTTAGGAGAACATTTTTACAAAGGAATGTATCAAGCCAGGAGTATGTAAAACACTTTTTATAAGGATAACATGGTTGTTGTTTAAACTGTCTGTGTAAATTTTAAAGCAGTTTTTTTCCTCTTTCCCCACCTACTGCTTTGTTTACAGTATTTTATTTCATTCTTCTCTAATGGTACAAAATCCAGTTCTATTGCATTGTTCATTGCCTAATGGTGTGATCCGATTTTATTGAATTGTTCCCTGTCTATTATCTTTATTGCATTTTTTAAATTCTGTAATCCATCTGGAGTCTTGGTAAGAAAGGTATAGAATAATTAAATTAACAAATTGGATAATGCTAATATAGACTTTCACATGGTTAAACTATGCCACATAAGTCTGAGACAAGTATAAAAGTTCGGACAGGTTAACAAACAGTTAAAAGGTTCCCAACCATTCTGATTTTTGCAAAACAAGACTCCAAAAGAAAAGAAGCGAAAGGCTTATATGAAAAAACACAGCTGAGAAGTCACATGAAGCAAATTAGCTCAATTTTAATGCCAGCTCTGCTTAAGTCTGAATGTGAACAGTGTTCTCTATATGATGAACAATGCCACTGTTTAGAAGCCAGTAGCCTACTGCTGGTTTATAGATTGAAATCTCTATTCTAACCTTCTGAGCTCAGTACATTAAACTAGTATGCTGAAAGAGATATTTATGTAAATTATAAACTATTGGCAAAGAGCCACAAAACTATGTGACTGTACTTCTCAGATAAAAAGACAATGAAATATGTTCACATACAAGTATTTGTAGATTGACACACCCTTAAAATCCAAGCCAATTGAGAACTAAGCATTATGAGGAAGGCAGCAACATTCCCAGTTTTAGATTTTTTAGTGCCAATTAATGGAAGCTTTGAAACCAGAGATACCAAGAAGTAACTCAAAATTTTCAAAATGAAAGAGGCTAAGACTGTGGCAGGCAAGTAATTTCATCAAAGTCTAGAGGTGGGGTCCAGAAAGTAACATCACCTCCCTGTATACCAGCTCTTCCCTCCAACAATTATGTTGGCAGCCTGAAAGGTATGAAATGGAGGTCTTAAGTCCAGACTGGGTCTGTAGGCTGCCCACCTCGGTCTCAGGAACTCAGTTGCTCAGCATCTGAAAACTTGCCATTTATGCAATGGCACTTACTCAATATATTTTTATCCAACACTTCCTCCAAGCAGCTCAGGGCACACATTACAGGACTCAATCCACTTTCACAGAAACCTAACAAGGTACCCTACTATAACCCTAACTCATAGGTTGAGATTTTAATCAAAGGCAGTGAAGTTAGCTGTGGTGTCAACTGTTTCTGCATTGATTTAGTTGGTATTACCAACCAAGATTCGTCTTGCATAATCTATTACAACACCGCTCCCATTTTTAAATTCCTTTTTTCTTTCCTTAGGAGCTAAACCTCAGGATGAGTAGTTTGTCACACTGCTAGTTCAGACTCTTATCACCATCATCCAGGCAAGGAGAATCACAATATCGCAATCAGCTCTTCATAAATGCATCAGATCCACAGGCTAGTCTTTTCCCCCCCATTTTTTTAATTAAAAGTTTTAATAACATACTACATCAAAAGTACCAAAACCAAGCAGAGTATAAATACCAAACAGTAAACACTTTGCTTTAAAAATTTGTAGCTACATTGAAGTCTAGATCCAAAAGCACTTTAAAAAAAATCATTACTGAATTTATTAGAAATAAATATATATCAACTAAAGACTTTTGTTATGAGGATATTGATAGGAGCTATATTGTTATATACGGTGCAGAGTTTGTAATACTGGAGTACTTTATACTGTTTTATATTCAGAAGCATAACCAAGAAGCATAGGCTGGATTGTTTGGGAGTAAATCCTTCTCAGTCATATATTGACACAGGCTAGTCTGAAGGCATGTTATGCTGATGAGGCTGAGAACGTCTCAGCTTGGTCAGTGTTTGGATGAGCAACTGCCTAAACGTCCCATGGAAAATGGTTCTGATGGCAAAGCAGATGAATGCCAGACTACTTAGAGCCAACCTGTTGTGACGCCACTTTTGTAAGGCAAAGATGAAACAGTCCCTCCTCCAAACTGATAGGATATTAAGAGAAAGAGGCATCACCTACACTAATTCCTGGTGCCATCTGCACAACCAGATGCATCTTAAGTAGTCTGAATTTGATTGGGGGAATGCGATCATCTAGTGCAGAAAAGCCCTAAGGCTTCATTGCCCTGCCATTCATTTTTATGGCTTGAAAAACATCTTGTATCTAACTCCAGACTTCAGCTACATTTGCCATTCTGAAATTATATTTCCTCTTGTCTAATGTATACACTGTTATTTGAAGGCTGCAACCCTATTTAAGCACTAAGTCCCACTGAATTTGCTTCCACATAAGCAAATTATATTTTAATAAGTTATAGCATAATACAGTCCTTAATTATGTAATGGTGTTTTTTCTCATACACATAGGAGATATTTTGCAGTTAAAAACTTTTAACAGTCTCATTACAGTGTGAAACAGGCAATCTAAATCCTACATGAGAGCAAATCTGTTTCTAATGTAACCAGACTTCCCTCTAGTGGTTGGTTTAGGCAAATAACATATACAAGACTTGAGAAAATACTCCAACTAACTTGTTTATGGCTACATGATAAAAAATTCAACAGGACTAGCTGTGTTTAATCTGGTGCCACAAAACTACACAGGAACCCAGTAGCCCCTTAAACACAGACAAAATTTATTTCAGAACAGGATTCCTTAAGTCACGTCCAATTTCACATCTACTATCGGACTCCTGCGTATCAACATGGTAACCACAAGGAACAAGAGCAGACAAATCCATAACACAGAAATTGCCTCCTCCGCCCCAGTCTTCCTGTGTTCTGTCAAAAGGCAGTACTCAAATCAAAAGGCTGGGAGGGCCTTTGTTCAGCCCCTTAGCCTTTGGCCGATGGGGTTCCGCAAGGTTCCATCTGGTCCCCTATGCTCTTTAACATCTACATGAAACCACTGGGTGAGATCATCCAGAGATTTGGGCTGGGTTGTCACCAATATGCAGAAGACACTCAGCTCTATCTCGTGCTTCCAGCTGATCCCGGGAGGCCGTAGAAACCTGAACCGGTGCCTGGAGGCAGTTCTGGAATGGATGTGGGCAAATAAACTGAAGCTTAATCCTGTCAAGGTGGAAATGCTACTGGTGGTGAATATAAGGTCTTACCCCGGATGTAAATTGTCACACATTCTGGATGGGGCTGCAACCCCCATAAAGAACAGGTCTGTAGTCTGGGGATGCTCTTGGACCCAGGCAGGTGGATAAGAAGGCGGTAGCTGTGGCCAATAGTACCTTTTACCAGCTTTAACTAGTTAGCCAGTTGCAGCCTTTTCTGCATAGAAAAGATCTGGTCACTGTGGTGCCCTAGTAACATCCAGGTTAGATTACTGTAATGTGTTCTACATGGTGCTGCGCTTGAAAAGTGTTCAGAAACTTCAACTGGAACAGAACACTGCGGTCAGGATGTTGACTGGAGTGGGCTGTAGGGACTACATCACTCCAGTCTTGGCCCATCTACACTAGCTTGCAGTTTGTTTCCAATTAACAGTATTGGTCTTGATCTTCAAAGCCATATATGGTTTGGGACCAACATATATAAAAAAGGCCTAATCCCTCATGAACCCCCCTGACCGTTATGGCCATCTTTGGAGGCCCTGCTTCGGGTGCCCCTGCCTTCTGACGTTAGACAGGTGGCAGCCTGGGAGAGGGCCTTCTCAGTCATGGCACCAAGCTCTGGAACTCTCTCCCCAGGGAGATTCCTCTGTCCCCCTTGGTTGCCATCTTCTGCCAGCGGGGGAGGACTTCTTTGTTTCTTCTGGTACTCCCTCAATGATCCCTCCTTCCTAATCAATGTTTTTATGTTTTGTATGCATTTTAACCCTGTTTTTAAACTCTTTTAAAAGTTGTTTTAATGATGTGTGTTTGGGAAGGTGGTTGACTTTAAGAGATTAATAATGTAACTTTATCATGTATGTTTCAAATCATTAGCTGCCTTGGTCCTTGCAATGGCAGAGTATAAATTTTGTAAATAAACAAATTGTTCGGTTGACTTTAAGAGATTAATAATGTAACTTTATCATGTATGTTTCAAATCATTAGCTGCCTTGGCCCTTGCAATGGCAGAATGGCAGGGTATAAATTTTGTAAATAAACAAATTGTTCATAATACTCCAGAAAACATCTTGTCCCTGACAGCTAAATTTTGTTTAAGGCGGTTGGGGGGAGGGGAGAGAAGAGCATGCTTTCACTCTGTCAATTCATGCATACTAGCATTAATGCCAGCAGCTGGAGGACAGCAAGTTGTACCGGAGGGTATGGGCTGCTGTTAACCATAGTCATTCTATGAGGGATTTTGGTTAGTGATCAGTGTTAGGATGCAGAACTCTGTCTAGCCCGTCCACAAGTGAGCAGGCTGTCAAAGTTGAATGGAGCCAAGCATTTAGTTTTCCTCTTTTGAGTTCTTGCTAGAGTCTTTCCCCCAACCCCTTCCATTTCCATTCTGCTTCAATCCATTTTAATATGAAGAATCGTCTCTTGCTATATGAACCTGAAAATAAGTTGCTTTTCTCAAACCAGCATACAAAGAGGATTTCCACCAGTGAAAGCCCCCGTTTGGTTGATGCAGACTTTGAGAGTCCTACAAATATCTAGGGTCAA